CCCCCCCCTTTTTTTTTCCCTTGACATTAACTAAGAGTTAATGTTCTTTTGCCTTTTCATTCTGTTTTTGATTTTCGGGAATGGCTCTTTTTATTTATTTTTTTTTCTTTCGTGTTCTTCAGTTTTACATAGGATTCAAAGCAAGTCCCCGGGGGGGAAAAAAAAAAAAAAAAGATGTTCAGATTGAGGCCTTGATCCCATGATTCCTTATATGAATGGATCAGCTTAGTTGCATTAAGAGGAAGTTTCCTATAACGTAAAGTAATTTGCCGCACATTCACCTCTATTAACTCCTACAGTTAAAAAAACAGATGGAATAAAACTTGCCTTTATCCCCAAAATACTTCCAAAGCTGTTTTGCAGTTACTGAACACATCATGCAGAGCAGTAATTTACAGAAACCCCTATCTTCATTCTTAATCCAAGTGATCCACAGTAATTCAAACTTGTCTTTGTGCTTTTTGCCATAGGCAAATACATTGCTTTTGGCTGAGAACAAGCCTCCCACTTTTGCTAGAAAATGCTGCAAGAAGAGCAGATAGAGCTATAGAGATGCCATTCTGAATGAAAAGGTGTATGAAAATGGTATTTCACTAGAATAGCAAGTCAAAAGTACTTTGATCATGTGGTTACATTAGTCTTTGTAGATGCTTATTGACTTTCCTTATTTTTCTTGACACAGTTAAAGCCTTCTAAGCTGAATCTGTAGCAGAAGGCCAAGTATATAGTTTTGCCTGCAACGGACACGCTTGGCACTTTTGCAGATATTCAGAGAATTACGCGTGCTCCGCGGAGCAGCGGTGCTGCTTGTGATGGACCTCGCTGCTCCTGCGGCTGTTTCCGTGGGGTGCAGGTGTCCTCTCCGGCCTGGCCGCACCGCACCGTTTGCAGCAGAAATCCGTTGGATCTCTGCTTTGGGCTGCCTCCTCATGTGTTACATTGGATGACACGGTCTCGTGGGCTGAAATGCTTCCTTTTGCCTTGGCGCAGCCCCCTGAGCACTGTTGGGCTGCCCTGGACGCTGATCGTTCTCAAAGGCTATGGGAGCAGCTCGGGCAGGATTACACAGCAGCCTGGATGGAGTCCCTAGCTCAGGCTACGCTCGCCATTTCCCTGATTAAGCTGTTCTGTTTTGTCATCCCCAAACAGCACGTACGGGTGCAGAGAAAACCCTTGAATACCTCATACTACCAGAGCAAAGTGAAAAGGGTGGCAACACAGGCAGCACCTTGCCCATGTCCCGCCTGGCAAAAACGCCCGGCGATCGCAGCCAGATGGTTTCACTGATGTGCATAAGAGCTGCTGTGAAACACAGCTATTCACACTGGGTTTCTCAGTGTTTTAGGTTTTTTCCTGTTCCAGGGAGGCTTGCAAAACAAGTATTGCAAAAGGTGTTACCTAAGCAATGAAAGCTGCAGTTTGTGAAATCACTTTTGGTTAAATTTCTTGAGCCGCTCAAGGCAGAGAACACTCTGGAATTTCTCACCTGAATGTCTACCTTTTGGTGATTATATTTTACACAGGCTCTTTTTTTAAAAAAAACTTGTTGAACATACAGTGTTCAGATATTACAAAGGACAAAAAGACAAAAGGAGCAAAATATTTCTTAACTCATCTATAAAACACTTTCAAATTACTCTTTTTTTAACATAGCAGTAAGAAGCCCTTTCTCCTATTTTTACTGGAAAATGACTTGGAGATTTAGAGAACTGTAAAGTTACCTTGCAAAGTAGAGGAAGAGTCTTAAATGCCTCACTTAGTGTTTTTCAAATGCCAGGGTTAAATACAGGCCAACAAAAGCAGTTTTTGTTTGTTTGTTTTTATTTAAACAGCGAATGTCTAATTACTAAAACTGATTTCTCTTGATGATTGTGTCACTTATTTTCAGTCATCCAAGGACAGCAGAGAATTATTCAAGGAAGACAACTTTGGAGGAAGTGCAAGTTCCAAGTCTCCAACAAGAATACAAAGTTCAACTCTGCCTTTGACATGCTTTTTCCTTCATAAAGAAGGTGTACTTTGCATCTCATAAACGACTTTGAAGGTATTTTCAGAGCAAATCACACTGGATCCCCATTCAGCTTCAACTCCAAGGCTATATATAGGCAGAAAGGTGGGCTGATAGATGGGGTATTTTTATCTGAAAGTATCTGCTATCTTGTCAGCTACTGGGAATAGAGGCTATTATATCCAGGTATTGCCTCTCCAGGAACCCAGAGATGTCAGAAAAGATGTGTATTCCTCATGTGCAAGGTATGCAAAATAGATGAATCCAAGTTTACGATAAAAGGCTTGTCTAATGAATGGAATTTAAAGTGGCGCATGGATATTAAACGAGATACTCTGGTGTGCCCTTGCCAGGTGGACACTTTATTTTGGAGTGAGTCTTTGCCGTGAGCCCTTTCCAGAAGTTTCTTTCCTCGGCGGCGGCCGGCTCTGAGCGGGGCCGGACCCCCGCGGCCGCGCGCGCTGCATGGCCCCACCAGAG